TTAAGCAAGATGTATTCAAACTCAAGAAGTTAAAAAAACAAACAGAAGGGGCACCTAGGTGGCTCGGTCGGTTGAGTGTCTGACTCTTGGTTTTTGGCTTGAGTCATGATCTTGGGGTTGTGGGATTGAGCCCCAGGAAGGGCTCCACGCTTGGTGGGGAGTCTGCTTGGGACTCTCTCCTACTTCTCCCTCTGTCACCCCCCGCCCACTCACATGTGCACTTTCTCTCTAAAATAAATAAATCTTAAAAAAGCCAATACCAGTTAAGATAGAATTAGTATATTCTTCCCTGTGTCTCCCACTGAATGCAGGTAAAATCCTAGAGAGAATGGATGGGCAGCTATTAGAGAAACCTGAAAGTAAATTTTAGTAGACTGGAGAAGGAAACCAGAATTTGGATGTTTGACTAATTTGGTGGTTAAGTGTTCTTGCCTGGACTAAAACACAACCTGAATCCCAGAACTGTGCACCAAGCTCAAATAGAAAGAACCTCGAGAGAGGCTCTTTCTGGTCAAATGAGTGGGAGAAGAGGATTTTGTGGGGTAATGTCTAAGAAATTTATGTTGTTTTTGTTTTCTTTCGGGTCTCACCCCAGGCAAACAATAGTCCTGAAAGCCGCAGTACTGTAGTGGGCAGGTGGTAGTTGCAGCAGCTGGCAGCAAGTACTTAAACCCTGCGGAAGGAGAATTCTACCTTATGAGTGAAAGTCTGTTTTGAATAGAATAGAAGAAATCCTATTACTTTTTTCCTCTTTATTTTCTTACTGCTTGGCACTGGAGGAAGACCTAGCTGTGGGAAGGGCACAGCAGAATAGGAAAACTAAAGGAGTGCCTGGCTGGCTCAGTCTGTAGAGCATGTGACTCTTGATCTCTGGGTCATGAGTTGAAGTCCCAGGTGGGCTGTGGAGCCTAGTGTTAAAAAAAAAAAAAAAAAAAGGATAGGAAAACTAAAGCTCTTTAGACCTAACTAGATCAGGAAGGGGACCTCTGGGAACTAAAGAGTTCTGGGGAGACAGAGGCGAGGAGGCAACTCAAGTCAGGGGTCCCATAAGGTGTATGGACTTGAGGGAGCACTCTCAAGCTGTACATGTGTAGATCTGACACTAGGCAGCATACGAAAGGCCTTGAGAACTGAATCAGAAGGTAGATCATCATCTGGGTCCCAAAATGGATAGTGGGTGAAGCACACATAAAACATAACAACACTGCAAATGCTTTGAAAACTGAACTGACATTGGAGCCTCAAGGCACAGAAAGTAGTTTGGAACTTGCATACTGAATGAAATAAATTGCCTGCTAAAACCAACCAAAATTATCAACTTCTATAGGATTTAATCTAGGCCAAGAGAATAAAATTATTCAAAATGTCCAAGAAACAAAAATGTCTTCTACATACAAAGAATGAAGAAAATTTCAACTCACAATGGGGGAAAAAAGACCCAACACTGAAGTCACACATGTTCGAATTACCAAAGACTTTCAATGCTACGAGAACCATGTTTCAGGAAGTAAAGGTGAACACTCTTGAGAGAATGACTAAGCAGAGAAATAGAAGATAAAAGCTATAAAAAAAGAACCAAAAGTAAATTTTAGAACTGGAAAACTTGATGGGCTCAGTAACAAAATGGAGAAAACAAAGGAAAGATTGAAGTGAATTTGAACATATATCAATAAAAATTATCCAACATAAAATATATATTTTTAAAGATTTTATTTATTTCACAGAGAGAGACAGCGAGAGCAGGAACACAAGCAGGGGGAGTGGGAGAGGGAGAAGCAGGCTTCCTGCTGAGCAGGGAGCACGACGTGGGGCTTGATCCCAGGACCTGGGATCATGACCTGAGCTGAAGGCAGACTCTTAATGACTGAGCCACCCAGGCGCCCCCCAACATAAAAGATTTTTAAAGAAGATTTTATATATATTTTTTGAGAGAGAGAGAGGGAGAAAGAGAGGAGCACCGAGCAGTGAGCCCAACATGGGGCTCAATCCTAGGACTTGAGGATCATGACCTGAGCCAAAGGAAGATGCTTAACTGACTGGACCACCCAGGCACCCCTCCAAAAGAAAAGATTAAAAAAATTTAACAGAAACTTTAGGACCTAAGGGACAATACCAAAAAGTTTAACACTTGTGTCATTTGAATTGTAGAAGGAGAGAAGAAAGTGCAATGAAGAGAAAATATTTAAAGAAATAATGGCCAAAACCTACCAAATTTGGCAAAAGATACAAACTTACAGATTCAAGAAAGAATATATGGGCATGCCTTGGGATATTTCGGGTTTGGTTCCAGACTGCCACAATAAAGTATGTCACAATAAAGAGTGTCAAATGAATTTTTTGGTTTCCTGGTGCATATAAAAGTTATGTTTACACTACACTGTAGTATGTTAAATGTGCAATAGCATTATGTAAACAAATATACATACCTTAATGAACACCTTATCACTAAAAAATGCTAATCATCATCTGAGCTTTCAGTGAGTCATAATCACTGATGACGGATCACTATAACAAATATAATAATAATGAACATTTTGACATAAGACTTAACCAAAATATAACACAGAGACACAAAGTGAGCAAATATTGTTCGAAAATTATTTTGGCACCAATAGATTTGTTCAAGACTGACTTGCCACAAACTTCCAATTTTTATTTTTATTTATTTATTTTTAAAGATTTTACTAGAGAGAACAAGAGTGAGAGTACATGAGAGGGGGGGAAGGTCAGAGGGAGAAGCAGACTCCCTCCTGAGCAGGGAGCCTGCTACGGGACTCGATCCTGGGACTCCAGGATCATGACCTGAGCCGAAGGCAGTCGTCTAACCAACTGAGCCACCCAGGCGCCCCACAAACTTTCAGTTTTCAAAGAATACCTGATCTGCAGGGGTGCCTGGGTGGCTCAGTCGTTAAGCGTCTCCCTTTGAGTCAGTTCATGATCCCAGGGTCCTGGGATCAAGCCCCACATCAGGCTCCCTGCTCGGCAGGAAGCCTGTTTCTCCCTCTCCCACTCCACCTGCTTGTGTTCCCTCTCTCGCTTTGTCTCTCTCTGTCAAATGGATAAATAAAATCTTTAAAAGAAAAACAACAAAAAACCTGATCTGCAAAGCTCAATAAAATGAGGTATGCCTGTAATCCCACAAAAAAGGATAAACTAAAAAGAAACCTTTGCTGAGACAGACCATAATAAAACTGCTGAGAATCAAAGGAAAAAAAAACCTTGAAAACTTCTTATGGAATACTGATGCATTACATATAGGGGAACAATACCTTTAATAACAAAATTTCTCATCAGAAAGTATGAATGCCATGGGTAGGTGGAACTTTTTTTTTTTTTTTTTAAGATTTTATTTATTTGACAGAGAGCGAAAGCAGGAACACAAGCAGGGGGAGTGGGAGAGGGAGAAGCTTCCTGCTGAGCAGGGAGCCCGATGCGGGGTTCGATCCTAGGACCCCAAGATCATGACCTGAGCTGAAGGCAGATGCTTAACGACTGAGCCACCCAGGTGCCCCTGGAACAACATTTTAAAAATACTTTAAGGAAACCACTGTCAGTCTCATTCTATTCAATGAAAATATTCAGGGTCATGAGATCAAACCTTGTGCCCTTGGGCTCCACCCTGGCTGTGGAGCCTGTTAAAATTCTCTCCCTCTCCTTCTGCCCCTCCCATGCCCGCCCCCCTGCCTCTTTCTCTCAAATAAAATCTTTAAAAAAAATAAAAGTTTCCACACAGAAAAATAAAATGAAAAGTTGACCTATAGATTTAAGAAAATATTTGTAAACCATCTACCTGGATAAGGGATTAATATCTAAAATATAAGGAACTCATACAACTCAATAGCAAAAAACCTCAAACAGCAAAAATCTCAATAGTAAAAAATAGGCAAAGAAGACATACAATACCTTTGAATAAATACGTTTCCAAAGAAGACATACAAATAGCCGACATGTACATGAAAAGGTACTCAACATCACTATCAGGAAAATGCAAATTAAAATCAGTATTAGATATCACCACATACCTGTTAGAATAGTATTATCAAAAAGGCAAGACTTAACAAGTGTCGGTGATGATATGGAGAAAACGAGTCCTTTGTACATCATTGGTGAGAATGTAAATTGGTACAGCCACTATGGAAAACAGTATGGAAATTCATCAAAAAGTAAAAATAGTATTATATGATCCAGCAATTCCATTTCTGGGTATATATCCAAAGGAAATAGAATCAGGATCTCAAAGACATATCTGCACTGCCATGTTCATTGCAGCATTAGTCACAATAGCCAAGATATGGAAACAATCTAAGTAGCCATCTATAGATGCTGTGTGTGTGTGTGTGTATATATATATATGTATATATATATATATATACACACACTCATAAATACAGTGGAATAGTTTTCAGCCATGAGAAAGGAATTCTTGCCATTTGTGACAACATGGATGGACCCTGAGTGCATTATACAAGTGAAGTAAGTCAGAGGAAGACAAATACTGTACAATCTCACTTTTATGTGGAATCTAAAAAAGGCAAACTCAGAAACAGAGTGAGAATGGTGGTTGCCAGAGGCTTGGGGATGGGAAAAGTGGGGAGATATTGGTCAAAGGGTACAAACTTCTAGATATAAGATGAGTAAGTTCTGGGAATCTAATATACAACATGGTGACTATAGTTAATACTGAATTATGTAACTGATAGTTGGTAAGGAAGTAGATTAACTGTTTTCACCATACCCACAAAAAGGTAATTATATGGAATGATGGAGGTGTCAATTAACCCTTTGTGGTAATCATTTCACAATATATACATGTATCAAATAATCACATTGTACATCTTTACTTACCCAGTGTTATATGTCAGTTATACCTTGGTAAAGGTGGGGGGGATATATATGTGTCTATATAAAATAAATGCACAAAGCAAAAACTGATAAACTGAAAGTAGATAAATCTACAATTAATGTGGGAGATTTTAACATTTATCTCTTCCTATTGATAGATCAACAGACAAGAAATCAAGGTACAGAAGAACTCAATGCCATCTATAGATTGACAGCAGAGTATGTATTCTTTTCAGTTGCATGTGGAATATTCACCAAGATAAACTATATTCTGGGTCATAAACTAAATCTTCATAAATGTAAAAGAATTGAAATCAGGCCGGGCGCCTGGGTGGCTCAGTTGGTTAAGGGACTGCCTTCAGCTCAGGTCATGATCCTGGAGTCCCTGGATCGAGTCCCACATCGGGCTTCCTGCTCAGCAGGGAGTCTCCTTCTCCCTCTGACCCTCTTCCCTCTCATGCTTTCTATCTCTCATTCTCTCTCTCTCTCAAATAAATAAATAAAATCTTTAAAAAAAAAAAAAAAGAATTGAAATCAGGCCAAACATTTTCCTTACCAAAATGGAATTAAATTAGAAAAAAATAACAAAGATGTTTAGCAAGTCCACAAATACGTAAAAATTAAACAACTGACATGTAATCAATCCATGAGTCAAACAGGAAGTCTCAAACGAAAGTAGAGCATATTTTCAACTGAACAAAAGTAGAAATAGAGGGCGGCGCCTGGGTGGCTCAGTCGTTAAGCGTCTGCCTTCAGCTCGGGTCATGATCCCAGGGTCCAGGGATCGAGCCCCATATCGGGCTCCCTGCTCGGCAGGAAGCCTGCTTCTCAGCCTCCCTCTCCCACTCCCCCTGCTTGTGTTCCCTCTCTTGCTGTGTCTCTCTCTGTCAAATAAATAAAATCTTAAAAAAAGGCATTGTTTAAAAAAAAAAGTGGAAATACAGGATATTAATTTATAGGATACAGCCACAGCAGTACCAAGAGAGGAATTTTTTTTTAAGATTTTATTTGTCAGAGAGAGTGAGTGAGCATAAGCAGGGGGAATGGCAGGCAGAGGGATAAGCCGGCTCCTCGCTGAGCAAGGAGCCTGACATAGGACTTGATCCCACCCAGGGTCCTGGGATCATAACCTGAGCCAAAGGCAGATGCTTAACAGACTGGGCCACCCAGGCATCCCCCAAGAGGGAAATTTTTAGCAAGTAACTGGGTTGGTGTCAGAGTAAGTGTAATATAGAGTCAAGATCTTCACCACCACCCAGGCTAACTAGGCCATTCTTTTCTATGGTAAATATGGAGGGCAAATGAAGAGCAATAAAGAGGCACTCCTACCTCTCTCAACCAGGAAGGTATAAAAAGGAGGCTGGTAGGGTGCCAGAACTCCCATTCACACATAATAGTAAGGAGGACTCCTCCTTCCCCCGTCAATGGAGACTGAGTGAGAAACCTGTGTTTCTGTCTCCCACCTGCCATAACAAGATGGCACACCCCCTTCCCATGTGAGTGGAGCAGAGAATGCCAGCTTAAACAAGGTTTAAATAAGATTTAGAATCTTAACACAAAATGTCCACATTTCAATTGAAAATCCATCATTATAATAAGAACCAGGAAAATCTCAAATTCAGTGAAAAAAGATATTCAAAAGAGTATCAAGATGACAAAGATGTTAGAATTATCTCATAAATACATAAAACTTCATAAAAATGCCTGAAACAAATATACTTGAAACAAAAGAAAAAACAAAGTCTTAGCAAAGAAATGTGAAGTCCAATGAAGAAAATAGAAGATATAAAAAAGAATCAAAGGAAAATTAAAGATTTTATTTATTTATTTGAGAGAGAGAGAATGAGAGATAGCATGAGAGGGAAGGGGTCAGAGGGAGAAGGAGACTCCCTGCTGAGCAGGGAGCCCGATGTGGGACTCGATCCCGGGACTCCAGGATCATGACCTGAGCTGAAGGCAGTCGCTTGACCAACTGAGCCACCCAGGCGCCCCAAGAATCAAAGGAAAATTAACTGAAAAGTATGATAATGGAAATAATAGATGTGCTAACAGCATAAATGGAGGGGACAGAGGAAGGAATCAGAACAGAAATTACCCAATCTGAACAACAGAAAATAGACTGAAAAAAGAGTGAAAAACAATTCAGGAACCTGTGAGATTATAATACAAGATCTAACATTCCTAACATTGATGTCCTGGAAGGAAAAAATACAACAGGATTGAAAAAGTACTCAAAGAAATGATGACTGAAAATTCCCCCAATTTGGCAAAAGACCATAAACGGATTCAAGACACTGAGTAACAAGCTTTCCCCCACCTCTGCCCCCAATCACTATCATGTCATATCATAGTCAAACTTCTGAAAACTAAGGACAAAATAAAAATCTTGAAAGTAAGAGAAACACCACCTTAAATTTGGAGGGGGAAATTCAAACAAAAGCGGACTTCTCATAAGAAACCACAGAGGCCAGAAGAGGTTGTACATTTTAAAGTGCTGAAAGAAAGAATTCCAAATTCCAAATCCTATATCCAGCAAAAAACCCCAAAAAACCCAAACAGAAACATATATATATATAAATCATTCAAGAATAAAGGGAACCAACATCAGTCATTAGGAAAATGCAAATCAAAACCACAATGAGATACCACTTTATAACCACTGAGATGACTATAATCAAAAAAAAAAATAATAATCAATGGCAAGGATGTGGAGAAACCCTTGTGGTGAAGCTGCTGTAGAAAACATGGCAATGCCTCTAAAAAATTAAACATAATTATCATACAGCACAACAATGACAAATGAATTTAAAATAGGGACTAGAACAGATACTTGTATGCGAATGTTCATGGCAGCAGTATTCACAATAGCTAAAATTAAGTAGAAGCAACCCAAATGTCCGTTATTGGATGAATGGAAAAATAAAATGTGGTATATACATACAATGGATGTGTTATTTGGCCTTTAGTAGGAATTAAGTTCTGACACATGCAACATGGATGAAGCTTGAAGATAGCCAGACACAAATGGACATATGATTCCATGATATGAGGTACCTGGAATAGTCAAGTTCATAGAGACAGAAAGTAGAATAGTAGTTACCACTGGCTGGGAGGAAGTGGTAATAAGGAATTAATGTTTGATGGATACCAAGTTTCAGTTAGGAATGATGAAATATTGGAAATGGGTAGTGGTGATGGTTGCAAAACAGTGTGAATGTACGTAATGCCATTGAATTGTACACTTAAAATTTGTTTAAGTGGTAAATTTTACATTAAGCATATTTTGCCACAATTAAAACATTTTTAAAAATATGCTGTTGGGGCGCCTGGGTGGCTCAGACGGTTAAGCGTCTGCCTTTAGCTCAGGTCATGATCCCAGGGTTCTGGGATAGAGCCCCGCATCTGGCTCCCTGCTCTGCGGGGAGTCTGCTTCTCCCTCTTCCTCTCCCACTCTCCCTGCTTGTGCTCCCTCTCTCACTGTGTCTCTCTCTGTCAAATAAATAAAATCTTTAAAACAAAAAAATATGCTGTCGCCAAGAAACGCACTTCAGATATAAAGATATAGGCAAGTTGAAAGTAATAGAATAGAAAAGGATATATCATGCAAACATTAATCAAAAAAAAAAAAAAAAACAAACCCAGGAGTGGCGGTCTTAAAAACACACTTCTAGGGCTCCTGGGTGGCTCAGTCATTGAGCATCTGCCTTCAGCTCAGGTCGTGATCCCAAGTTCCTGGGATTGGTCCCTCATTGGGCTCCCTGCTCAGCGGGAAGCCTGCTTCTCCCTCTCCCACTCTCCCTGCTTGTGTTCCCTCTCTCGCTGTGTCTCTCTCTGTCTCTGTCAAATAAATAAAAATCTTTAAAAAAAAAACCAACCAACCAAACAAACAAACAAAAACACACTTCTAAATAATCCATGTGTCAAAGAGGAAGTCTCAAAAACATGTTGAGCTGATTATGGTTTGGGAACCTAATTTTGGAAATAAATACTACATATATAAATTGGTATATGGTAAAAACCAAAATGTATTTTAGTGAATGATAACCAAAGACACTTATCTGAATTTTAAAAATGAGATGTTAGTGAAAATGGCATTTTCATCAGAAAGAATATTGATAAATAAGTGAACCATATGCAATTTTAAAATACTGCTTTGGTTATTTGATTTTTCTAAGTAAATAAAAATTATTCATAGAAAAAAGACATTGAAATGAATAAAAATTTAAAAAACGGCTGCCTGGGTGGCTCAGTTGGTTAAGGGTCTGCCTTCAGCTCAGGTCGTGATCCCAGGGTCCTGGGATTGAGCCCCGCATTGGGCTCCCTGCTCAGCAGAGAGCCTGCTTCTCCTTCTCCCTCTGCCTGCTGCTCTGCCTGCTTGTGCTATCTGTCAAATAAAAAAAAAAAAAAAAAAGAAAAGAAAATTTAAAAAACGTATCAAAATTTGTAGGAGGCAGATAAAGCAGGGATGAAAGGGAAATTTATAGCACTAAGTGCATATATTAGAAGAGGAAAATTCTCAAATTATTAATCCAACTTCCCAAAACAAGACCTAGAAAAGAAAATAATGGAAAACGAACAGAAGAACAAATCAAAGACAGAAATCAGTGAAACTTAAAACATAAAAAACAATAGGAAAAATCACTGAGATTAAGAGCTGGTTCTTTGGGAAGATCAATAAAATTGACAAACTTCTAGAAAGACCACCACCACCACCACCAAAAACTCAAAAGACACAGATTACCAATACCCATATGAAATAGCGGATATCACTACTTTGCAGACATCAAAAGGATAAGGGAATACTACAAACAATTCTACACATAAATTTGACAACTTAGATGAAATGAACAACTTACTTGAATCACAAAACTACCACAACACACCCAATATGAAATAATGTGAATGGCCAAAATACTATTAAGGAAATTTAGTCTATAATCTGTAATATATTCTCCCCAAAACTTCCAGAGTCAGAGAATTTCATTCGAGAATTTTGCCAAATATTTAAAGAACACAATCTCTTCCAGAAAATAGAATACTAGTATTACCTTGATGCTGAATACAGAGACAGTATAAAAGAAAAAAATACACACTCTACTATACATTATGAATATAGACACAGTAAATCCTTAAAAAACATTAACAAGGAGAATTCAATATTATATAAAAAGAATTTTACATGACCAAGTGGGGTTTACTCCAGGGATTCAATG